TTCGGTACCTAAATACACATGGTGGTTAGATTCTGGTGCAACAACTCACATCAGTTTATCTAAGCGGGGTTGCCTGAGTTGCCAAAAATCAAGTGATGGTAAAAGATACATCTATGTTGGCTACGACAAGGCAGTGGAAGTAGAAGTAATAGCAAAATTTAGATTATTGTTAAAGACTAAATTTTATTTGGATTTTAATGAAATATTTATTGTACTGTCTTTTCGATGAAATTTGATTTCTATTTCTGATTTGGACAAATCTGGTTATTCTTGTTCATTTGTGAATGGAATATTTAGTTTGCTTCATGACTCAAAATTGGTTGGTTTCGATTCCTTATCAGATTACGATAATCTTTATTTAATTGACACAATTACTTCTTTTAATGAATCATTGCACGTAAATACTCGAAGTGTAAAGCGAAAATTAACTAGCGAGAATTCTGCCTTGTTGTGGTACAGGAGATTAGGTCTGTAGAGGTTCTCCTGAATTGAGAGACTTATGTCTAACAAAATTCTCTATCCCCTTGACTTTACAGATTATGATATGTGTGTTAACTGTATAAAGGGAAAACAAACCTACAAAAGGAGATTTCAAGCCAACAGGACTTTAGACGTTTTAGAACTACATACGGGCATTTGTGGACCATTCCTTACGGCTTCTTGGAATGGCCAACAATATTTTATAATGTTCATTGATGAATTTTCTAGATACGGCTATATATATCTCATTCATGAAAAATCACAGTCGTTGGATGTGTTCGAAAACTATAAAGCTAAAGTTGAAAACCAACTCGGCAAAATGATTAAAAGCGTCGATCTGACCGTGGTGGTGAATACTACGGTAGATATGACGGTTCAGGTGAACAACGCTCAGGACCATTTGCTAAATTCCTAGAGAAATGCGGTATTGTCCCACAGTACACTATGTCGGGTTTGCTCACTATGAATGGTGTTGCTAAAAGACGAAATAGAACATTTAAGGACATTATGATGAGTATGATTACTTATTCTACCTTGCTAGAATCATTGTGGGGTGAAATATTAAAGACCGCAACATATATGCTCAACAAAATTCCAACTAAGGTTACTGAGAAAACCTTTTATGAGCTTTGGAAGGGCAAAATGCCTAGTTTGAATCACTTACACATTTGAGGAT